CGTGCCTTGCCAGCACCGAAACTCTGGGGAGCTCAAGAAACGTGGGTTGGCCAACTCTAGCATTTGTGCTTTTGCTCCAAAATTAATGACCCTACGTGGTTTTTTCTGCCCTCCAGCTCAGCGGTAGGGACTTGCCCCGTATTGAGACTGCCTTCACCGCTGTCTTCCACCGCACTCTTGCGTGGACGCTATCAATAATGTCATCCACGTTAGTTGGTTAGAAATTGAGCGCAAGGTCAATGATCAATCTGTTCGCGACCCTTTTAAATACGCCTCTGCTCAACGGTGTCTGGTTTGCCGTTGTAGTTCCGAGTTGTCTCTTATCAGCTTTTGACAAGCTTTATGTGAGAAATGGAAGTCCCTGGCTGTCGGTAGACAGGAGGTCAGGCTGGCAAGTCTCACCCTTTTGGCCTTTAAATTTTTGGGTTTGGACCTCAGTGTATTTACCTGAACAAGGTGGGGGTTGCTTCTGCAAGGCTGTGCCAAAGAGAATAATAAAAGGAATCATAGAATGTTTTGGGTGGGAAGGGACCCCCAGAGCCCACCCAGCCCAACCCCCTGCAGGAGCAGGGACACCTTGAACCACATCAGGTTGCTCACAGCCCCAGCCAATAGATCCAGTCTAAACCTCCCCTGCTTCAGTTTAAAGCCATCCCCCCTTGTCCTGTCCCAGCTGGCCCTACTAAAAAGCTTGTCCCCCCCTTTCCTCTGGGCCCCCTTGAAGCCCTGACCGGCCGCACTCAGCTCTGCCCGCAGCCTTCTCTTCTCCAGGCTGAACACCCCCAACTCTCCCAGCCTGGCCTCAGAGCAGAGGGGCTCCAGCCCTCGGAGCATTTTAGTAGCCCTCCTCTGGCCCCACTCCAACAGCTCCATGTCCTCCTTGTGCTGAGGGCTCCCGAGCTGGACGCAGGGCTCCAGGGGAGGTCTCCCCAGAGTAGAGCAGAGGGGCACAATCCCCTCCCTCGATGCTGGCCACGCTTCTCCTGATGCAGCCCAGAGTAGGGTTGGAATACAGAGACAGAGCTGCAGGGTTCTCGTGAATGTTTAGGCTGGTTTCTAAACAGCTGAAAGTAGATGTTAGCATCTGACCAAACCCACTTGACTTTGATTTTTGCTTTGGTCTAACCAAGTTTACGTCCCGTGACGCAGACGAGCCTGTTTTGTCCGCTGCCTCGGAAACTGGTGTCCTGGTTAACTGGAAGGCAGATGCTTTTGAACAACCCCTCTTTATCCCTAAATTACTCTGTGGGTTTTTAGGGTCATTAGTTCACATAATTTAACTTCAGCTTGTGTTAGTGCTGCGCTGCGATTTACTTACTCCCCCGAAGCCCAAGTGTCGCTTCGAAGAGCAGGATCCAGAAATAGCTTTAGTTTACTTTGGGGTGGTCCAAGTTCAAAAGCTTGGGGGGATTTTCCCAGCTTTTTTTCCAGTTGTTTATTGAAAGCAAAACAAAAAACCCCTTCAATTGGTTTTGCATACTTTTGCTGGCAAGGGGCGGAGGATTCCCCACATCTCTGCGTGGTCCCCAGTTTATCCATAATACTCTCTGGTGATGCGAGCCTTCCTGTAAGCTGTGCTCTCTTAGCTCCGAATGCTTTATTTCCGAATGTCTCAAGAGTCATCTAACTTTTGGTTTTTTTTGTCTTTCCCACTTGTTTCATTGCAGACCCCTGTAAAAGAGCCCAACAGTGAAAATGTAGATATCAGCAGTGGCGGTGGGGTGACGGGCTGGAAGAGCAAGTGCTGCTGAACGTTCTCCTGTATCACCAATCGCCATCCACCGCCCCTTTTTTCTCGCTGCAAAACAAACCACTCTGCCCGTTTTTAACCTTAAACCAATGTTTTGTTCCTCATCTTAACAAGCTCCTGTCTCCCTTTGTTCTTCCGTTTAGGAGAGCTTGCGTACTATAATTTTCTCAACACCATGTATAGGAAAATCATCTCGGTGACTTCATTTTTTCATGTACCTGCTCAACTTACCACTACGTTTTGGTTGTATTATAGTCCCGTTCCTCCTGACATTAAAACCCATAGCAATCACATTCAACTCTACTCTGCGAATCATATAAGAATAAAAGTTAGAATTAACAATTTATTTTGTACAACAGTGGAATTTTCTGTCATGGATAATGTGCTCGAGCCATAATACTCTCTAGACGCATCAGCAAAAGAGCCAGGAAAAAAACACTCATTTTCGCCTTGAGTATGTGAGTGGGGTCTATTTTGTCCTGTGCCTTATGTGGAAAGGAACTTTTGTTTTCACTTTTTTTTTTTTTTTAATTATTATTATTATTTCTTTTCCTCTGGTGGAAGCATGTGCAGGAGACATACCATCCATACTTGACCATTTTAAAATACCGAACTCTTTTGTGATTGCTTTCTGTGATTGTTGGTGTAATGCATCGAGGACAAAGGGTGGTGCAAAAAACAAACAAAAAACAAAGACATTGAACCTGCTGTGTCTCCTCTTGGTGATCTTGCCATTCAGAACTGCTCCTGCTGCCATTTTGTTTTCTCACTCGCAGCTCTTTCCTTTCGCCTGCATGCTGCTTTTATTTGCATTTCTTCATGGTGTGATGTGTTAATTAAAAGGATGGCAACGTGGTAATGTTTGCCAAAAAAATTGACTACAAAGCACTGACTTAGCTTTCAAGGTAAAAATGTGGAAGATGCCTACTAACGTCCCTCTAGCCAGTGTCCGTCACTAGTATACCCTCCCTCCTCCCGCATAGCCGTTGGGTTTTATGATATGGAAGAGTTATTTGCATGCACTAGTTTTCTCTGGAGGGTGATGTGGTTGTCTACTTTGTGTGTGAATATAACATGCAGTTCCCAAACTGACAGCAGTCAACGCCAGCTTCTCAGTTCTCTCCTCCTGTGAGCCTCTCCAGCAAGCTGTCCGGTAGCCTAGCGAAGGGCTGAGTGAGCCTAGATTTTAAAAAAAAAAAATGGAAAAGTTGGCAGTTTAATTCATTACCTCCCTGAAAACTTCCCACTTTCTGGCATTAAAAGCTGGGCCGTTGGCACTCGGGCCGGTCTCGCCCTCTCCCGCGCCGCGGGAACGCGGCGGGCGATGC